CGACGCGTCGGAGTACGCTGGGCTAAGAACTTTGTGCAACGGCAACCAGACTACGACATCACACACTCCATTTCTTTTCTCTTCCCCGAGTCATGTGGAAGCCACACATTTCAACATAGTTGTCGGTGACCCGCCGACGTTCTTCAAAAACCCCTGTGAATTGCCAAGACTCTAGAGATGATCTTTCATTTGGCACCGCTCTGACTGCGCTAGACCTAGAGGATTTGAGTAGTTGAACGACCATGCATTTTTCAGAGGGAAAGCTCTTAGGAGTGCCTTGACCTATCCGAGAATTGTTAAATCTTTTAGTGGTTAAGGAGTTGCCCTTGTAAACAACGGTGAAAGAGCGACATCCACAATGTCAAGACATTGGCAGGAATGAGTAGGAGAAAAATGCCCAGGTATTGTGCCAAGCCCCATTTTGATCGGGCCGCCCCTGCATCTCGTAAATTCGCGCTAGAAAGACGGCATTTGTGAGAGGGTGCGCCCTTGGCTGCTCATCAACGACTTATTTATCACCCATCCTCCATCAGTCTTACTCTGCCTCACACTGCAGCAGTTTCGTCCAATCTGCCCGGCCCGTTTCTACACGATGAGGGATCGTGGATTACGCCTCCCAGCCATGCCACTGTTAGAACCTAACAGCCACAACCATCCAAGATTTGGGGTCCTGCGGCTCAACAACCTCAAAGTAGGCCAGCCCAGGTAGTGACCCACCGCAACAAAGATTTATGGGTATACCATGGTAAGTAGCGGCGATCTTCCGAGGCATTACTCTTGGGAGAGGAATCGAAGCAATGGCTGTGCTGTGATCGGCACGATGAATCTTGAAGAGTCCATGGAGATAAAGAGACATCACAAGAGTGAGGGATTGGCGGGTTGGGATTTGATCCAGCTTGTGATCTGCGATCGAAAACTTGGGACTCTAGACCATGCCACTTCTGAAAGAAGTTTCAAACAACGGTACCGTAGCGCTTGAAGATTGTTGCTTGTTTTGTTCGGAAGACCTTCCACCGTCGCGTAGATTACGGCTTTCAGCGTCGACAGTTTACACCCTCACCGCGCATGGCGGGAATTCCACGAAGTTTCTCCTGTCGCATCTTAGAGAGGGCATGGGAAAGCAAGTGGTTATTCGCCTGATTTCAGCCTCGCCGTCGGTCAGGCCTGTGCCCATCAGCCCCCTGTCAATGCGACGCCTCCCGTTGCACAGTGCCACGGCTACTTATCGACCCCTAGGCGATGGCCTTGACCTTTGACGCAACGCTAAGCTAGGTTGGTATTAACAGGATCGGAAATATCTTCAGAGGTAATTTGATTGGTGCTTCACAATACGAAACCTGATTTTTTTGGTCTAATCTGAAAACAGTCCCAACAAGAAGTGATAACTACCGGATAATATTTCCAACAAAGATTCACAGAATGCGTTGAGAGTTGACGTTTGGTATAAGAATAATGCAGCTGTAGGAACGACCTCCTGCAGTTGTACAGACGGGACGGACATGAGTGGTGCCTCCTTCGGCGGTTTGGTGGGGTCCAAAGTATTATGACGGCTCGATACCTGAGTTAGAAGTACCCTAAGAACCCTCCAAACACGGTATGTCGAGAGTGACACTCCTGCCGTACAATGTAAATACTGCAAGGCCTCCCAAATACTGGCTACAAGCACGTTTACCTCATCCTCCAGATGTTCTGCGTCTATGGCTAGCTCCAGAAACAATACGGCATTTGCTTGAGCTACTAAATGTACTACTGACGGCCATGATACACATCTGTACATCTCGTTCAGGCTTGGATCCTTAGGCAAGGCCAATGCAAGCCGATTGCACGCTGCGGCCGTACATGGGTTAACCGGCACCTGATCCTTTGATTAGCATCCATAGATACTTATCCTTGGATAGGCAAGTTCTTAGGAAGTATATCTATCCAGCGCTCCAAATCTAGTTCCAAGTCATTGATCTTGCGTTGTGAGTCTGACCAGGGTTCGTTGGTTGCTCCACTATACAGTTAACCCGTAGTCTTGTCGCTCAGCAGACATAGAGGCTGCCTGTGTAATGAATCACCCTCAGCGGACTTTTCCTGCTGAATTATGTCTTGGGACCCGGCTTTATCAAAGCAGTATAACACCTTCGAGCTAGATTAGCCAGACAGCAGTCAAGTCCATGCAATGCGCTTCATATCCAGCTTTTGGATCATCCAACTATTGTTATAGTGTACCGGCATATGTCACTAAACTTCCACATTAACATCCATCTGTGTTCCAATAGTGTTGTTCGCGTTGCATGGGTAAGACATGGACCGTTGTGGTCGATATCGCGTGTCTGCACAGGGGGCAAATAGGGCGCCCTTTGGCCCACCAAGAGCCAATACAGCGATGGTGAAATACATGCAAACACGCCAATTCCCGTATCTTATGCCGAGCTTTGATGGGGTCGAGACAAATGGCACTGTAAAAGTCAGTAAGATTGTGCTAAGCGGGTGAAAACATATCACTTACCAGGTAAGCAATGGGGAGAGAGTCGCAGGTGTCGGATTCTGCGAATGTTCTCTATTTCGTCTCCAACTCTCGGCTCTGAGTAACGGTGTAGTTTCATCGAGTATTTGGATAGGATTCTTTCGTACAAAATTCCTGGACTCTATATCTGTTCCAGGAAATATATCGCTGGTGATGTGCGAATCGCATCCTGTGCGTCGGCCCGACACTCTAAGGAAATGTTAGTATAAATATGGAGCATAATGCGGAGAGAGACTAACATCACCATGAAGATCAAAAAGGCGCAAATGCTTAGGAGCGGCATTACCCTTATCCAGTTACCAGTAAAGTGGTGACAAGGTGGGAAGCGGTCACAGTGCGGGTTCTCGTCAAGAATGGACTGGTTCCAGAATTGCCACTGACGTGCTCTGTCGGAAAGGAGAACCGGCATCTTGACATGTATGGTATAACTCGAAGTGCATTAGCAATGGTTGAAATCTTCGTCATTGGGAGTTCTGTTGATGATATTCCCTCATTACCTATGCTTTAAGCAGTACTTCGCAGCAGGAGGATTGATCTATATAGTCCTGTACCATGCATCAATTGCTTGGCGCCTTCGCATTGAGCGGCCTCAATTCCTACGGCAATTGTGTTCGGAGGTATCTTGCCCAGGTAACATCTCGAAAATGTAATGCCAAGACCTACTGATTTTGCCACGTCCGTAAAAATGTAAACCACGTGACTCTCTGACTCCTTGTCATATTTTCAAGCGTCTCCGGGTAGTGAGAGGTGATTGGGGGAAAATTGGTCGAATGTTTGATCCCAGGGCTGAATGTGCCCTTTGCACACGGCAGCGCCACAACACGTGGCTTGGCGAACTTGCCGCCTCCATCGTGGGCGTACATGAAAGGGGGCGCCACTCCCTTCCCGCGTACTGAGGCTGCATGTTGGATGTTTCGTGAGGTCCAGAGGGAGATTCTCGACGTGTCGACGCGCCGTTGATGGAGGAGATGAATATGTTTGAAGATGTGTTCCTTCTAATGAGTGGCGAGAAGTCTTCTGTGTTGTGGGTGTTCGCATTGACGTCATGTTGGTTATGGATATGCCTCTCATTAGCTCCACCTCTTCGTCGCGTATTCTTCATACTCTGACACTGTAAACGTCGGGCAGGAGAATGAGAGACCAATTCGTTCTCCATCGTGTGCGTACATGAAGGAGTGCCAGTCCCTTCCCGCTTCACGTGGTTGTGTGGTTGTGTGGTTGTGTGGCTCGTTATATCGCTGGAGTAAGCACGACACCGGGATGACTAACCTACAATCTCCAGGAATTAATCTTACCACAAAACAATAGGAAACCATGGATATGCAACTTGGTGGCTTTAGAATACCATAAGAACTATAGCAGAAACAACGCATACCGCCCAATTCGGCAGTTGAACAGCAGATATTGTGTATGTACAAACCGCATTGTTTCGGACCACTGTGGTGAGTCGTGTAGATCATCACTCGTTGTTGCTTCATCAAAACGCTGCGAGTCTTCTCCGTGTTGCGCCAGGGAACCGATATCAATTCAGGTTCTTAAGGGAGGCAGCATTTGAAAGAGGACAAAAAAATCCGACGGAATTGGTGGATATGATATCCTACAACCTCATGATTGACGGTCGCCACTCATCCTCCTCGAGCAAGAATGCATTCCGGTCATCTAAGCCAAGCTGCCACCCGTATTACTGGCGAATTTCTCCTTCACACAAGGTGCTGGCCGACATACGCGGAAGTTGTTCAGCTTGCATCAGAAAGTTACGCTCAAAGATCAATCGAGCTCGAGCCCGGGTGCGATGGTATAGCTGGAAGATCTGCTATATGCGGATGTTGGTCTCTTGGTAGCCAACTTCGGACCCGTCCAAGCTCCGGGTCGCCTTTTTGCCCAACGCTTGTTCCTTGCCATGTGGAAGGCAGCGGAGGCGTCGCACGCTCGGCCCTTGGCCGCCGCATGGGTTACCAGGGGGAATCAAGTTCGGATGGGCAATGAAAGATTGTCACCCATATGGTATTGTCATCCTCCACTTGAAGTTTGATTCGAGCTTTCAAGACGTCTTTTTCGGCTCCCCAACTTCCCAAGGGCCAGGAGCAGCATTTGCGTTCCGCTGTAGTCTGGCGTTATGCCATTTTCCTAGTAAGTCCTGACAACGCTGACGGAATCGAGACCAGTCAACGTTGTGAGGATCCACGCGCTCGACGAACAACCTCAATGATTTACCAATTCGTGTCCGTTGGACTACACGAGGGTCAACCTCCCTCAGAGCCTCGAGTCTTGAGAGCAAACGAATGGCTCTTTCTAGCTCAATTGACTCAATGCGACGATTGCTCGGTAGTCTTCGTTCCAGCTTGCAACGAAGCCCGTAGACTGCCAAACATCAGTCTGTGATCCATCCAAACAGGCCAAAATCGTAGCAGGCCTAGAGGGGAAGTTCTAGCACGAGTCAGGACTCTGGACTATCCGGACTTGAACTCACCATAAGTTTCAGAGGCTATCAGCGGAGCACTACGTCGGGCAGCTCGGCGCGCCCTCTCGCTGAGGGTGACCGCTGTGCTTGCATGCCTTGTACCGATCGTGAAGTTTGGCCACGATCCGATGTTTGCCTATCATCCGTAAGACAGTAAACCGAGCGTACGGGCTGCAGGCTCACAATTTCACGGGCGACAATGTCAATCGCCGACACCATCTTGTGTGTTTCTGCTCTCGCCTGGGGGATTTCAAGGATGGACAGTACTTCCTTCACATGACGTTTCCCCCATCGACGACGATGCTCCGCTTCCATCCATTGGAGTCGAGCGGCGGGTCCTACCTGGAACATTGCGCATAGCCAACTGACCTTTAGTTCAGAGCAAGGCGACAGTGCAGCACTGTCTACTCTGACATCCAAGACATGAGTCCATTGCGGCAGGGAGGTCTTTTCCAGAACACCGTCCAAAGTGTCACAATCAACGATCTGCAGGTGTGTGCTGGGCATGATCGCTTCCAAGCTTTTCCATTCAGAGTCGCTCGTGCCCAACAAGCTCTCTGCGTCAAACCGCACATAGAGCCAGGCGAGCAAGGCGAACTGACGCGCAGTTTCCGATGTCCTGACCTCAAGTAATAAGGCTGGCTCACGCCTAGCCGGATTGGCCAAACGGACGTACGCATATACTCCAGCTGCGTACTCTTGGCCGGACATAACGATACGGTCGACGCGATTCAGCAGGTGCCAAGCCAGAAGTCCGCTCCCACGTCCTTTAACGCGAAAGCTTCCATCTTCTGGGCGTTCGACAACATAGTGACTCTTGACGGTAGGAACCTGGCTTTCTGTGTCGGCATGTGATGATATTCGACATCGCGATGGCGTACAAAACTCATCATCTAAAAGCTCGTAATTATGCATTGAACTCTGGAGTGTGTGAACTCCCTTCCGCCGGCTCCCAAACCCTGCCCTTTATCAGGGCTGCACACAACCAAACACTGCAGGCCCAGTGTCGGACGCTTTCCGGTATACAGCTAGTGTTTCCACGATTAACTTCTTTTCAAGTATGGCACCATTGACCACGACAGCCCCATGGCGCTGTACAATTGCGATTCCTTTCAGGCTTGTCAGTTATTCATGGAGTGCATTCGGTCAGTTGCATCGTTGGTCATCGCTTTCAAGGGGTTGCTTTGACGCTATCTTGTGAGTGCTGCCGAAAGCAAGATACTCTGAGGGAGGGTCGTGCGTGGGCGGACCTTCATGAAGCTCGATGCCATTTTGAAAGAACAACACCAACCGAGGATGTGGAATGACGACCTGGATATGTTCACCCAGTGCTTGATGACAGTGCTGTTAGATTAGACGGGACGCTTTTAGAACTACCTGAACCATCAAGCTTGAGACGAATGCAACCCTGCCTTGAGCATAACACATGTTTGGATTTTGGAAGTCCGACTGCCTTGCGCAGGCACTCTGGCGGAGAAGTTCTGCCACTTATCACCGCCTTTGTTTGAACCACCATGCATATCACGTGCCTCGCCTGGGCAGGATCGGGCTAGGTCCAGCTCATATCTCGTATGACACAACAGTGTGGTCAATTGTCTTGAAGGGACACATATATGCGACAAGGAGACCAATTAGCAAGCAGAAATCTCGCAGACAGGTACCTGCTAAACGAGCAGCTCCATGATATCGTCTTCGCTCCACCAGATGAGGTGCGCCGACTGAGAACCGCGACAACGCCATTTAAAGGATTGACTTTGACCGAGTCATTCTTGCTAAAGCGGATACCAAATCTCCAAACTTAAAAATGGCTTGGGAAAATTCGTTCTTCGAATCGGGTATCTGCACAAAGAAAACATGGCGTAACTCGTCTGCCATGATTAAAGGTAAATTTAGTACCATCCGGCCTTTGAGCACTAAGGTGCAGTCGGCAACACACGCGAATTCTCTATATTCAGAATAAGGTAGTGCATCAATCATCGTGGAGCAAGGGGGCAACAACGGCTGCCAAGGAATCAAGAGGAAGCCAGCACGCTTCATCCATGTTAACAGAATGATCAGGTGGCCCGGGTGAAGTGGAAGCGTCTGAGTGCAAGAACAATGGCCAGTCGGAGCTGAACAAGAATCTTGGGACAACCGACCTTGTCACAGCATCTTAAATTCTTCGCCATTCTTCTCGCACCGAGAGCACCGCACGCCGTTCATCTTGTCAAGTTCAGCTTGGTTCATGGCACTGGTTGTCGAACACCTACGGGCAGGATGCGAACGTTCCGCAGCCTATGCGCTTTGGGGGCTTTGATTTTGAAGAAGCCGGATATTCTGAATGTAAGTTCGATTCGTGGTTTTGAGAGCACCATCAGAGCTAGGGCCGTGTTTAGCGTAGTTGAGGAGTATGGCGAGTTGTGCATGGGTAGCACACGCAGAGGAGCGACCAGATTGAGGTTATATCTATTCGAAGAGCATTGCTGAAAACCACGGAGAAAGTAGGTCTCGCTAATGATAACCTGTCAATAATCCCAGCTTCGTCAAAGCGAATATTGTTTAGGTGCTAGTCCGAGAGACCTGCACATTTACAATTTAGATAACAGAAGAAGGTACCAATAATAGTAACAATTCGTCTATCTTCCACGGCGCGCTAGCGTCCTCCAAATCACCAGATGCTTAATTCAATCAGGCGGCTCTCTGTGCGTGATAGGTGCAGCTTCAATGTCTAGGTTCCCTGAAAAGGCTGCAGAGCATAGCACGCCCCGTAATGTCACTAGTTTACTTCGCCGCAGTGTTGTCGCGTCGCAGTGGAGTAGACGGGCTCGTGCCGAGTACGACACCACTAGCCCTGCTGATCATTTGCAAACTGTTTGTGATAAAGTCTTTCAGATGGAGTTCTTTTAAAAAAGCGGATCGTATATGGAATCTCAACGATACGTCTCACTCCGCACAGCAAGTTGGTTCCATTATTCGCCATCATGTTAGGATAAGACACAACCTCATCTATCGTCTACAGGCAGCTGGTCTTCTGCGGTGATACTGTAATACTCGTTCACTCGCAAGTGATCGTGTCTGATGCGTTCGCCAGGCAGGTGGCCCCAGCACAAACCTATTCTTTGCTATGAGACATCACCGTCCACCTTTCAATTGTCGGATCTCCTGGATGAGGCAGATGAGGCAGATCAGGCTTTTCGGCAAGTGTTTGACAATTCACGGTCAAAATTAACGTCTTTTGAGCTGAACCCTCCGTCTTCGGTTTCTTCTTATCCGGTATCATCGAAATCTCTCGACAAGCAGACCACCCAATTCGGATTGATATTGGAGTGGCCGATGTCTCTTGCGATGGCGGAATGGTGTTCCTGATGTGTGACGTAGAGACGGATTACACCATCGACCAATACAAATACGTACTTTGCTCGGGCCTTGGGTCGTACTGTATACCTTTGGTGCGATCGGTCAGAAATGAGAATCTCTTCGTCGTATGTGTCCTCGGAATGGACTTCGATCTCCGCGCAGACCTGGCCTGGCCTCCAGATCGCTTCGTGTGAAACAACTATTACCCTGTCCGTATTTCCGAGAGGCAGAAAGCTGTCAGAGCTAGAGGGAGTCCGTGGAGTCCCAAGATCTCCAGACGAGTTATCGTCATCCTCAGGATGTTCCATATCGATGGTCTAAACCAGAAAATGGGCAGAAGCTGATCCGAGGGCTCGACCAAATTTATACCTTACGTTGAACCAGATAAAAGGCGTAGGGGACATGACCAAAGGCGACGAGGCACCCTAAGAACCTGCCTCCTGCGTCTATGCCTAGTACCTCAATTCGAGCCGTCGACCCCTACACGTTTCGCAACAGGCAAGTAGGCTCTTTGGGGATTTTGAGGGAGTTTCTCGCCTTACTCGTTCAAGACTACTTGCACAAGCGAACAACAAGCCTCTTTCAAGTGTCTACCGCCCTGGTGGTGGTTCGCATCTGGCCCTTTGGAGGTGGCAGTTGCTTTTCAATGCGCAGTCGGTAGTAACTGCAGCAACTCGGGCAATACGTCCACTCGACTTCACAGTTAACGATGGCAGCCTCTTCCGTGATGGCGCTGTCGTGGACACTAAAGCGTGAGCCTCTGTTTCATGCCGCATCACCTACTTCCCAATCATTGGATATGGAAAGCATATCAGGGCATAACAAAGCAGCGCTATCTGCACACTAGCCAAAAACTTCCCATTCAGTCGTGGAGACCCCAGTTTGGCCGACTAGGGACACGAGGAGGATATCTCAAAGCGATGGTGACCTGCTGTCCAGCGGTTCCAACATTTTGTCGTGTTCCGATCTTCCTAGGCAAGCTTGTGGAGACGGCAGTCAAACAGCTCAGAATTGTCTCTGATAGGTCATCTTGATCACCTCTAGCATCCAGCGGGCGACTGGGGCGAGGAAAGGCAACGTGAGAGAGTTGTTCAGTCATGGTGTCAGCAGAAAATCCTTGCATTCTGCGACAAGGATCTGATACTCTGGCTTTATTTTCATGCTTTTTCCTCCGATAAGAGGGTCGACCTAGTCTATGACCTTCGTGAATTCAAGCTGGCTTAGGTCGTACACGCGTCTCCGACCTCCGACACGCTCCATTGGAGTCAGGGGATAGACTTTGCTCCAGCGACAGAAAGGGTCCTTTCTGCGAATGACGAAGGCGAAACGTCCACACACCTTGCTGTTCGTCATGAACGTGGACCACACGCTAGATATGACCAGCAATCACATAGCGGTACCTTGGTCTTAAGCTTCGAGTAGGGTGCTCGCCACAATGGCCACCGTACAGAAAGCTATGATTAGCCCCTCAGTAGGTGAGGCATTTTAAGACTTGAAGCACAGGGCCATGCACCCTGTGCCAATATGAGCCAAGGAGTTGCGTTTGACGCTTTGTACCTCCCTGTCGGTACCGCTATTCGCAAATTGTTACCTCTCGATGATGATAGCGGCCACCTATCAATTAGGCAAGATAAATAAACCTCGAATCTAGATTTCGCATTTCAGGTGCATACGGGCGCTCATGGTTATCATCATCTCTTCACTCTAATGGATACTGTATCTTCTTAGCACTTGGATCACATAGAATGCAAGCTGCACGAGCACCTAGGAAGGCTTCCATGCTCACTTCTAGGCATAATCTAGTCAAAGCCGCGGGTTACGGTGTGGATCGAGATCAACATAGACTTTATTTTTCGTCCTGGTGCCTTGGTCTGATCTTTTGTCCCTCTGCATTGTCACCTCGAACTTCGCTCTCACTAGCAAGACCGAAACAAGCAATGCTCCGGCATGGTTGGTCATAGAAAATCATTGGCTAATCTTAGCGTGCTTGTGTTGCCGTAGACGTCTATTGGTCCTGTCAACTCAATCTTGAAAACGGGTGTACATCGACGAACGCACTACAAATTTCTTGCTTAGGGTGGCAGAACTACAAAGTCGATCATTGGTGTATCCAGTCCGGGTTTCTCGCTCAATCAATGGTCTGTCCTCGCTCTCGCGCTCTGCATGCTCGATGGCGGCCACTAGCTCTTCCCAGCCACTCTATGGCCTATCTATCAATGCGTGAGCGGCCTTAACGGAAGGGCACCTTAGCCCGGCACCCGTTGAACGGGTGGGTTGATCCCAAAGCACTAATCAACCAATACTCCTGCGTTATGCGCTTGGATGAAGTTGCGTTTGAGACCAAGACAGCTAGTTGACAAGTCCAGAATGCGACAAAGGCCGCACGATGTCGAAACAGCCGAGCCCAACACATGCATCCTTCTCTGAGACCGTAGCCATGGCTGTCACGGAATTGCTGCGATGGCTCAATGATTGGCTTGACGATTTTCCGACCGGGAATATTCTCACAGAAGATGCATACAACTCTGCCAATGAGTCCGGCTTTGCATTCACTACCAGCGTTAGTAGCAACGGCGGTGGTGGATTAAGCCTTGGTCTTCCTCCGACATTCGTTCCCACCATCTCCACCTCAACCGGTGAGTATGAGACTGCGGGCGCCAAGAACAGGACAGGAGCCCTCGAGTGTCCACCAACCAGTTCACAAGACGCGTACATTTTGGACTTGATCGCGAAAGCGGCCGCCATTCACCTCCACATATCCGAAACACGGTTCGCCCAGCCTCCGAACTGATATACCTGAGAACCTGTACACCACAAGGCAGGACTTAATTATCTAATGGTAATTCTAAACACAACAGAATTCCATGTGTTTCATGTTTCTCGCTTTCTATTACACTTTTCTACCAAAGCTTTCTTAGCCGTTAAGACCTTTATCCAGTGATGAGAGTCATGGCACTGGCGAGCATTCCGTTGAGGTTCGAGCTAGACAGGAATATATTCTCGGACAAAGCAGTCAACTTGAACGTTCGAGAAGATCTCTCTAATTCAAGGGATATGCTTACTCCTTCGCCATCTGGCCAAGTGATGGAACGGGAATTCCAATATCTCCAAACTGACCACGCCCCCTACAATGAAGTTCAGCAAAATGAAAATCTTCGTTACCAGCTGTCGCCTTATGCCAGCGCAGATTGGCCTTACTTTCACCCGGAGCAAACTGCCATCCAGTGTACGTCGCCCGACAACCCGAGCAGCCAGTCTCTTCAGCATCCACCATTCATTCAAATCCCTCCAGAGTCAACGCTCCCGGGCCTGCACCACAGAGACGAAGCGAGACCCGTGAGGTGATCTTCGTAGAATTCAGCATAGAGGTGACCGGTGGGGTTAGTCGCTGTCAAAGGGGTTCTGGGTCACTTGAGCCGGGATGTCCAGATGCCGGTGTTGCTGAATTAATTCAAAACACGATCATGAATCAATAGTTCAGTTGGTGAGATAACAAACATCGAAGCCTACCATCCCCAACGCAGAAATTCGGCGGCATCCATGGACCGTGGCAGCCACGAGCAGCATCAAGAATCAAGACACCTCTGGCATGCAGGCACTATTTGCCTCAAGTTTAGGCTCCCCATCCAATATCTGTGGCAATCAAAGCACCTCGTTTTCTTCCCTTCCATCACCTCTAATTTGTCTCGTTTGTATGTATAGATCAACAATTTCACGCCGTTTGTTTGAAAGTTCACATATGTGCTCATCGAGAGCATTGCAGCTTATGATTTCTCCACCAATATCCTTTGAGAGATTCCGTTCGCATATAAAGTCAATCTGTCCAAGATCATCTATGATAGAGGTATTGGTGTAGTAAACTATTGCTTGGAAAGAAGTGCAGCCCTAAAAATGACAGTTAGATAATTGATATAGTGTTTCTTCTGAGGACATAATCACGCAGATCCAGGAGAAAACCAATTTAGTCTCAGAGGCTGTATGTGTGTCACCTTCCGGGGACTGGATCGATAAAGAGCGCCCCATGGACGATTTAGATACTTGCTCGGAGGGGAGAACTCAGGGGACCACGAAGCCAGGAGCAGCTTTCAGGAAATAAGGACGAAGCCGACGATTTTATAGCGCCCTTTCGTGTTATTGAGGTAAACGGTACCAATAGTTGGGGAGTAGTGGTCACTACGATCAACAGACAGAAGAGCCGATGATAGCCATTCATTTGAGATAGTTGGCCTTGACACGAAACTATTCATGACCCCTTCTTGCACACTTCTAGGTGCAATTTGACGATGATGGAGGTGGGATTGGTGGCTGCTCCAGTCCAAAGGACTCCGCCTAATCCTATGGTTCGCAGTGGTTTTAGGTCCTAGTTCTGGTCTCCCCCAAGCAATACCTTGCCTGACCCGGGGTTGGAGACAAATACGCTGCTGCCGATGTCGGATTGATTTGCATCCCAGAAATGTCTTGTTCATGTGGGCCTACTGAACTGTTGAGAGTAAGAATAATACTGGTGATGAAGACGATAGCCAGCACGACCAGCATACAGGCGGGAAGGTCAAATGAAAACCAAAGGTTTGCGCCCGAGGCTCTTCGTGTTCTCACTGGCATCACTGTATGCGAAATAATTCGCTCTCGGTGAGCGAAACAGTGAAAGCTCCCGTCAATGTGCATGATGTTGGTCGTAACGTCGTAGTCGCCTTAATACCCGATTGGACAGGAGTTATTCGGTCTAGATTGATCTGCCGGAGCCTGAGTCAAACTTCCCTTGACAATCGGACTTGGTGTGAGACTAAAGCCTCCAGCACTGATCCTACCTTGCATGATGTGGCAGCATTCGGGTCGATTGAAGCAATTCATTGAGATTGAGTAATCGCTTACTACACTGCACAACTCACATCAAGCTCCTCCAGTTGTCACCGAAGCCTATTGAACTATTGCCACCACGAAAGCTCCAACCGTGCTTAGCCTCTTCATTGCTGGACTTTCAAGCCTGAAACACAGTGGAAAGCACGCCAGTGACTGGTTTATCATGGACTTTCCTGCTCTTGTCGGAGTTACCTACCCGTACCATTGCGAAACATTGTTCGTTTGAATTCTAGTGCTCAACCCCCGGGAGGCGTGGTCCACTGTTCCTATGGCTCTGGGGGCAGGACCTCGATGGACATGTACGGCTTGGGAAAACGTGAGGTCTCCGTTCAACCCCGTTTACGCCATTGGTCACTAACCAAGAGTGAATAGAAGAGAATTCTCGGTCACTATAAGAGTTTTATCTTGGCCGTGACGTTGGAGAGATTTTGATGATTGCAACATTCAAGATTAAACCATTGAGCGAAGAAAACGATGTTTGCTTGTACTACCTGTCAAAAAGAATATCACAAGAAGCAAGATCTCAACAGGCATAGTAAGAAGTCACATGCTCCGCGGCTCATTCCGGGATTAACCTTTGCGACAGAGCGCAGCCACCTCAAGATGCTTCCTTTCCCTTGTGACGTTCAAGGGTGCGGTTCAACCTTTACCCGCAGCGACAGCTTACGACGTCATCTGAAATCACACGGGAGAACACTGCCGTTGAAGTATCCGAAGAGGGTACATGAGTTACAAGATATTGATATCACACTTCTAACCGTGGGACAGGAAAGACGAAGGACCCACCAACGATGCAATGTTGGGAGTAAGACGGTGGATTCTCACTCATGTCGGCAAAGATCAAACCACTTGCCGCTGTTACGCTGCAAACCGCGCCAAACGCATACTTGTCGCGCCGTCGCCGATCCGGCTCCGGGCAGCGTGACTTTGGAGGCACCAGATGCAACGGAGCCACCCTTTCATATTGTCTTGGGCTGTGATGGCGAAAATACAATGCTAGAAGATTTCGAGATATTGGCCGCTCAGCTGACATTCAGCCAATTGATGGAAGCAGAAATCGAGTTTTCTCTCTACCCTAAACTTTGGCACTAGTTTGATGATCACAATATATTCTTTCAAGTAACGAGTCTATGATGAAAGTCGTCAATGTGCGAGTTCAGTAGCAGTTCTGTCAGGCGGGTTGCGGTGTGGCATGAGGATCATGGCATATATCAAGGTGGATAAGCAAGTCAACCAGAAGTAGTATACCAATGCAAATTCAAGGAAAGGCCAATTGATAATTGAGGCACCATGGTCTACTAACAGGACGACGATTGCACAGAATCTTTGGTTGTCATCAGCTCCATTGACTCACCAAGTTGGCCCTGATGGCTGCCTTCGAAAGACGACCGTAGCTGCAGACTCTTGCGTGTTCAAACTCACTAATCACCAATCGCCTATCTTGGACCGAAAGGCCGTGATCTTGTGAACAAGCCGGCGAGTCTAGACTGACAAGGGACGAAATGGATTTCCCTAGTTCGCCCGGCAGGGGCACTTTTGATCACAGAGACCGACACAATCACAGCCGCGCCAGAGTCTGGAACAGGTCTCCTCGTCACAAGCACAATCCATGAAGCACGTCGTTTCATTAATTGAACACGCACAATCAACCTGTGAGTTTCTCACTAGTTTCATCTTCGGTCAACTTTCAACTCAGGTACTCGTTCACTTTCGTTGTGAATGAGGAGATAGGGAGTAGCTTATTTTTTTTAACGTCTGCATTGTTCTACCGGGCTCATCGCTCATAAGACCCTTAATCTTTGCTTTATGAGTCGGCGTTGATGCTGTGGGTTTATGTGACTGCAAATTCTCCTCCACAGGCCAATCCAAAGTTAAGAGGTGGGCACGGATGCACGCCCGGTTTGTGTCAACGGATGTAATGGGTAAATGCGGACCTTGCATGACATTGGTATTCTGTTGAGTGACCACCCGGATCAAACCGCGGTCACTTACCGGCCTTTACAAGCTGGCGGTCTCCACATAATTTTCTGCATTGGGTTCTTACATGCGCATCTAGTGTCTGAGTTGGATATAAACTGCTACGACTCTTAATGAACTGACACAACTCTCGACCACAGATACCTCAGTGCCACAATTTGCATCCACTATGCGCAACACCGACATCTTCGACCGTCGCTATGAAGGTGTTCATATTGGCGCTGCCTGGGTTAGCATGATCGAGCCTGAGCCAGGTCATGAAGGGGAGTTCAATCGATGGTATTCTGACGATCACTTTTATGCCGGCGGTATGTGTCTCGCGGGAATATTCGCAGGACGTCGGTGGGTTGCAACTAAAGAGCTACGGGAACTCCGTCATTCGAGCGATGAAGATTTAGCACGATACGGCTGCTACCTGCACACCAATTTATTTGACGATGACCAGTTGCGTGGTGTCAATGTGGCATTGAGCACGACGCTTGAACATTTGGGTAAAGAAGGACGAATGTATGCCACAGAAATTCCCAGACGGCATATCTACACAGCGATCACACCGTACGAAGGCGTGGTCTACCGGGATTCGACGGCGGAAGGACCACGCGACATTCATGCACTCGACTATCCATTTGCCGGTGTCGTTGTAGAAATAATAGACGCCCATCATCAACACCACAGGGCAGCTTTGCTGCAATGGTTACGCACCAAATTCATCCCCAAAGCTATTTCCACAAGCTCCGCACTTATGTGTCTTGTGTTTAGACATGAACATCTTCCAGAGATTATTAAGTCGCCCAGACTCCCACCCCAGCATCCTACTGGAAAATCTCGGGTTGTGCTTTTGTGGTTTCTGGAACGCGACCCACGACCTGTTTGGAACACCGAGTTTGCTGATCATCCTGCAACAGTGCAGGAATCCGGCATGGGGAATCTGGTGTTTGCTGGACCTTTCATCCCAACAATTCCTGGTAGTAATCGGTATGTTGATGAGCTTAGGTGAATATTACAAAGTATAGGTATGTGCCTTGTATTGGTGCGTGAGTATCCTTTAGCCTAGCAATCCCGATCTTAAATCGCACATCGTCCAATGAACACTGAGAGCGTCACGAACTCGTGTCCTTGACAAATCTGTTATGAATTGTCGAAAAATGGTGTGGGTGAGATCATCATCAGGTGTAGATGCAGATGGCTATCTTTGGGTTGTCATTGAACCCCAGAACCAACGACTTTTAAATTCAGGATTGGAAGCTTTTCGTCGACGTTCACCGGCAGTTTCAAATGTCGACATTATCGCACCACATTTCACTCTCACTATGTCACGCGAGCGACGCAGATTGCCATAGCGAAGAGACCGTGGTTTCCCATGTCATCTAGTTAATGCGTGAGCCAATGTCGACCTCATTCCGCATCAAGCGCCAAAGAATAATGCATAAAAAAACATCTCCACAATTTTGTCAGGCTTTTCAACAAGCATTTCGTGAATGATGCAGAAGGAGAGAAGAACCTGCTGATCACACCTCTGACTTGCTAGTCACCATGGACAACTGTACGCGTCAGAGTTTCATACACTCTGCGGTTACGTGCGGGCTCAAACCAGGAAGGGCAATTCAGCTCATCAACATCGACCTCCAACCTTTCCTGCTAAACGGACAGTTGTTAGGAGGCAGGTTTTGATGCATGAGGGTCTTTCTTTTTCATTCTAAAATGATGAGCATTAGATTGTCGGTCACGTAAATGGCGAGCCAGTGAAAATCTCAACACCCGTCCACAAATGGCCTAGTCACGAAGTCATTTGAGACGGTCTCCCAACGATGATTATCTCATGGATACCGTGAGGGTGGCGGAACTCAGCCCGAAGCGGAATGATAAAGCAAGCGCAGGCGCCTATACCTGAAAGTCGACGACGCCAGAATCACAATTGACCGCGTGTCGATCCCGTATTGATATGGTTACCAGAGCGGCTGACTGAAGCTTGTCTTCCATCTTCTGCTCTGCATCTCTGGCTATTTTTGGTTTTCTGTCATGGGCCGTGAAAGTCGTGAAGTGGCTGGACTCGCCACTGTACGGAAAGTAGCTTCAACTCAGAGATATTGCCAAGGTACAAAGAAGGAGGCGTGTGGGTTGTGGGACACTAAGAGATGTCGCACAGATCACGCTAGATGCAGGTCGGTGCGGAAAGCATTGATCTACTTAATCTGACCATGCACTGGCCCACGTTCACGACAGAGGTAACAATCGATCGACAGGGTCTTACTTGGCAAAGGCGGAATGAGTGGTCGCCGTCTGCAACTCCAGACCCCGGAAACCAGGGGCTATGAGGAACACCTCTCCGCATCGTCATGTAACTTTTGAGCCTTGGCAGCGGAACAAATCCTAGACCTGGTTCCGAGTTCTTTGGATGGTCAGGTATACAAAATGTGGGCATTGGCGTGGACATTGATCGATCAATGCTCAGCTGCAGCTCGATTATACCCTCGAATAGTGATTCTCAATATTATTCAGCTGCATTGCAAACACGATGCCCAACACTACAGAGAGCCCAGTCGAGAAGGGAGTGGTCGCCTTTATAGATCTTGTTGAGCCTTTGGATGGCACAGTGAACAATTCCATTGATCGAGCTTTAGAAAAGAAGTTAGTTCGCAAGGTGGATCGGAACTTGCTGCCGATTCTTTTTATGCTGCAGCTTTGTTGCTTCATTGATCGGCAAGTTCCCTTGAATGGAGAGTTCGATCAGCCCACAGATCTAATCGAGGATAGGATTAATATTGGAAACGCCAAACTTCAAGGTCTGGAAAAGGACCTGGGGATGACAGGTTCAGATTTCAGCATTGCCCTTTTTGTCTTCTTCATCCCCTAAATTTTGCTTGAGGTTCCCAGCAACATCCTATTGAGGCGATGCCGACCATCGATATACCTGGCAGGTCTAGTTTCTGCATGGGGTATGATAACGATTTGCCACGGTGTGATAGCGTCTTTCGGTGGTCTGATTGTTTGCCGAATCTTGATGGGTGTCTTTGAAGCTGGCTTCCTCCCTGGCTGCATTTACATCTTGTCAATGTTCTACAAACGCCATGAGCTTCAAACACGGTTTCCCACCTATTGCTCGTCCTCGATTATTGCCGGAGCATTCAGCGGACTTTTGGCCTTTGCTATCGCACACATGGACGGCGTTGCTGGCTATTCTGCTTGGCGTTGGATCTTCATCATTGAAGGGGCTGCTACAGTGGTCATTGCAGTGGCTTCTTTCTGGTTGATTCCCGATTGGCCCGAAACCGCTAAATTTTTGAACTCTGAAGAGCGCAAATTGCTCTTGCAGCGGCTTCAGTTAGACCGCTCGGGGACGACTATGAACAAACTCAGCAAGAAGGCGGCTGTACGGATATTCAGTGATGTTAAGATCTATCTCGGGTGAGACCGGCCCTTTCTAATACTTATGTTGATTACTAACACAAACTATTCAGAATCGGCATGTATTTGGGAATAGTGACGACAACCTACGCCGGGTCATTCTTTATCCCCACAATTTTAAGGCAATTAGGCTGGACCGCAATACGAGCGCAGGTTATGTCGATTCCTGTATTTATCTTCGCCATGATCTGTACACTCTGTGCGGCTGTCATCAGCGACAAGGTCAAACACCGCTTCGGATTTATTCTGGGAGGATGTTGCGTCACTACCATCGGATACATCATACTCCTCAACATGATGTCCGTGGCGGCTGGGGTGAGATACTTCGCCGTCTTTCTGTATCTCGCTGGCGGCTTCATAGCGCACCCCATGGTTGTCATTTGGCTAAGCAACAACGTGTCTGGCCATTACAAGAGTGGAATCAGTGCGGCTATGCAGGTCGGGTTTGGCAATTTATCCGGGATTATTGCATCAAATATCTATCTTACTGACCAGGCACCAACCTATAAAGTGGGCTCTGGACTGGGTCTTGGCATTGTTTGGTTCTGCGCGGCTTGTGCTGTCGTGTTTTTGGTCATTCTGCGTCGGGAGAACCGCATCAGGGACGCCGGTGGGCGCGATGACAGATATAATCGGTCAAAGGGGGAACTGGAGAATCTTGGTGATGATCATCCTGCTTTTCGGTTTACCTATTAGGTCGCTTTTGCCCGAACAGGACTTAGGACAGACGGTAGCCATGTTTGGTCCAAGTGCACCCAAGAGTGTACGCCTTAGATCTGGAGAGCCGGTTCGGAGGTTCCAATAGTGCACCCTGGCAAATATGCATGCCAATATCTCTCATGGTTGGTGGTCTGATGAAGTCATGTTTTTGTCAAGGAAATGCTGCACGCCTTCCATATGCCTGCAGACCGCCGTCTTCCCTCTGAGTCCGTTGAATTTGTTTCAGTGCATTGGATTTTGAAACTTCTCTTTTTTTGATAGCAAAAACCCTCGCGACGTCAAAAATCAAGCATTGGTCGGATGCTTTACGTGGAGAAGATCACAAGCTCGACCTCTTGTGTCCACAGCCACCTGAATCTTGAAATTTGGCCCCTCATTTAGTCACTGGACTAGGGATTATGCTGTCCTTCTCAAATTGGGTACATGCCCATGCACCATATATGATCCGGAACATTCGGTACTTAGCCAAAGGCTTTGAAGGTCCATTGTGTCTAGATTTGCGCGATCGCAGCTTTTAGATAACTCGCATGGCAAAGCCATGGTTCAAACCAGGAAAATACTTGTACGCATAATCAATGCCCAGCTTAGGGATTTCTTCGTTACAGAACGTCTTCAACTCTGGTCCGAACAAGGAATCGTGCTCGGGGGCCAGTACCTGCGTTGGCACGGCGAGATCACAGATTTATGCTCTGTCAAGTGCGGACCGGTGAGCAGTGCTGATACAGTCGACAAGATTTTTGTCCCTGCCTGCAAGCTGGAAGACTGCCCAACCGCCGTAGCAAAAGCCGAGTACACCGACCTTCTCGTACTTGGAGTGGAGTTCCTCCGTGACAGCGATGATCTCGGGACCGCGTTTTGCTTTGTTGTGACGACCGAACCACACCATGATGGTGAATGATTTGGCCTTTTCTGGATCCTCTAACATCTCGGGTGAGATGACTTCTCCGTCAAAACTGTATTGAATTGAAGTCAGATCACCACCATTTGCCCTTGGCCGAGGATTGGATTGAAAGCATGTACGTCGTCACTCACAAGTCGGGCACATAAACAGTTGCGTTGAGGTCTTTGGCAAAGTGATCAGCCAGTACCGTAGCATTTGTCAACGTCCAGCCAAATATGTCGGCTACCAGAGAAATCGCCACATCGTCATTGCTGCCATTCACGTAGGTCTTCTTGCCACTGATTGTTGATTCTTTGCCAACAGGCTGACCATGCCACTTATAACCGCTTTTGCAGCACTCAGACATGATTAAACCCAGTTGTTACTGACCTGGGTTTTGTACAATTTCATAGTCAACAAGAGATATTGAAGTAAAGAAGAGAGGAGCGGGGGATAGACTTGGAGCACAGATAAGAGAACTTTGACTTCAGGTTAGTGATATTGCCGCCGGTTGTTGTAAGTCAAGAACGAGCCCATGTGGCCTAGCTACGGACTTAGGGAGTCTAGAATCACAAGTTTCATGACTCGGGTATGCTCGTGCCGAACTAACGTGCGCACAGAACCGCGTGCACAATACCATTTTGTGTACAAGACAATCAAACGATTAGTGTCGTGTGCAGACTCAACAGCCCCAACACAAATAGAACGACGGTCCACTTTCGACTTCGTTCAATAAACATCTCCACCTGACTGGGAGGACGGCGTTAACGGATTCATTCAGCCTGCGTTGGACACGGCCAAACGCTTGTACGATGAGCTGTCGAACCCGTGTGAACTGCCTAATGAGGCAGCTGATTCTCTTTTGAACTATCGCCATCTCCATGGCTTGTCGTTCCCAGGCCTTCATGCTCATCCGAAGATATGGCCAAATACAACCTCACCTGGGAGTATTGTCACAGTACTGTAGCTCCATAGTATTAAGCTTCTCGAATTCCGTGATGTGGAAAGCGGAATTGGGCCACTGCCTCCGTCGTGCTCCACCTTGCGGATTTCGGAAGGAGGTTCCGTCTCCCCTTTTTGATCGACCTCTTAGATCTCTCGAAAGCCTATGGAATACATCATCCCGCCTTGGTAATTCCCCTCTCTGGGATACGCAAACTCTGGTCCTCCCTTGATATCTTGGCTGTACCAGCAGCAGTCTCAGGAAGGCTGGCGAAATGGAGATAGAGTTACAGTACGGTGACGGGTTAACTGGTGTGCAAGTGTCCAAGGGATTTCTTGTAGCATGGGGTGGAAGAACCATATAAGTTTAGAGCACTACCTTGTGCCACACGTCATGCGGGGAATCGCCTGAGCAGGGCTTAGTTTAATTCGACCTTCAGCGATTGTTCTCCAGCCGCTAAGCCCCCGCACCACAAGCCCTCTTCTCTAGTTACCCTAACCTATAAAGCTACAAATGTCCTGCTCTGCACATGACACTTCCACTTTGTAAGCTTTGACCGATCTTTTTCTTCTACGTAAAGCAACTTTTCCACCAGGCTACGATCACGAGAATTCGGTGCTATGGAAGCTCCTCGAGTTCGTGTGCGAAATTCGCGTGCTAAAGACCTCTCAGAACGGAAAAGGCCTGTTTACGTTCGTTCGGCTTGTCAATCCTGCAAGCGAAGGAAAATACGCTGTGACGGGCTATCGCCTTGCACAGCCTGTGGGAAATATTCTTCAGAGTGCATCTATGACTCTGGGTTAGAAAATCGTCAAAGACATAATGTCACACGAACACGTAAGGCTGAAGTTGTGACGAGGGATCCTGGGGAGAGGAACATAGTAGAGTTCAGGTACACCATACCTTTAAAACGCTTTATAGTCTGCTGATGTGAAAAAGTGGGCTGGATGCGCTGGGGGAATTAATCTCATCCTTTGATGAACGGATTGCGGCCCTTGAACATGGGCAAGTGACATGCGGTATCCCTCAACGGGCTTATCCGACTCAAAATCTAACAAGCAGCACCCAAGTTCATCAAGACAATGCACAGAAACTTATGCTTGGTGCTGAGGAAAGAAAGGCACCGGTCTTTGCGGGCCCCAGTAGTGCGATCTTCAGCTTTCAGGTCGCTGATCTAGTGCTGCGGGATCAGTGTGACCCTACCAGTGTGACAAAGCAACGCGATCAAATCACAGGCGTTCTTACGGAAGATGAGGTAGAGGTGTGTTTGTCTCCAGAGGAAGAACTGAACCACGAATGCGCAGTCTCACAAGACGTGATAACGCGATCCGAAGCTATCCGCCTCGCTCGCGTTTACAGTGACGTTATCAATCTACTACACCCGATATTGGATATGCAGTCGATCCTTGGGTGCGTCGACGCTCTGTACGCTGCTGGCGGCAACGTGATTCAACAAGCAACGAACAACATGTCCCACATGAAGATGGCCATAGCCATCGCGCTTCTGGCAGAAAAGGGAGGCGTCTGTGCCACTGCCGCGGCCATCTACCAGAGCATAAAGCCGCAGATAGCGGACGTAACCCTAAGTCATTCCTTCAGTCTCGATGGACAGATTCTTTTGATTATGACGGTCAGTTGGACAATACGCGCCTAGCTGGACGATGCTAACCGCCTGCTAGGCATTCTTCCACATGTATACCGACGACCTCCGGTTGGCGACTCGGGTGGTGGCTGTTACGGCTCGAATTGCCATAGAGGCAGGATTGCACAGGAGAAACGTGCTTTTGCAGCGATTCCCTGATGGCACCGAGCAAAAGAAGGTCCTAATCATGATGTTTACCTTGTCCGTCATTGATCGGCAGCTGAACTTTAACTCTGGACTCCCTTTCACGATGCGAGACATCGAACTCGAAGTCCCAAAAGGCGTAAGTTACTGGCACCTGCTGACTTTGTCATCGGCTGACCTCAGTAGGACGATTTACCACCATACGTCAAAGCAATGGCGTCGTATGTCGACTTTGGAGCTCAAGCATGGGCTGCAATACTCGATACCCGTGGAAGATTGAAGAGACAATTCGAGGAAACCAATTATCAATTCCTCTCGTATCAAGTTATCCGATGGATCGACAGCCTGCCCGACGAACTCAAGCCGCAGCAGTATCTTGTCCCTCCGAACGGGAAATATCTCTCAATGAGTGAGCAAGATTCCGCCACCTGTTCTCTCCGGTGTATCTTGCACCTTCGTGCCAACCAGATTAAAATCTTGATACTTCGGCCTTTGCTCTTTTCTGCTCAATCCGCGCAAGAAAAGCCTAGAAGAGTCTCTGAGGTCGGCCAGGTTGCCATTGACACAATCGACAGGATTGTGGAATTTCACCAGCGGACCGACTTGTGCGATAAACAGTGGCCAATTCTCAACCAGTTCTTGTCCTCAGCACTATCTACATTACTCCTTTTGTACATCCACTTACTAGACGGCTTACACTTGCAAAGTGTTGAGCCTGCACCTATTGATATCCAGATCGTTGGCCAAGGAATCAGAAGCGCGGTCGATTTAGTACAGATCGCAAAGAACCGGTCATCCCAGCGATTGTGGAAGCTACTAAACTCTCCTTCTGGATTGCTACAGCGCCTAGGATTGGATTTGGGAGCTGGCAAATCCCAAAATAGTATGGACATAAGCGCTGGTTCATCTACCGGGACGTGCGCCGGTAGTTGCGCCCCACTTGAGCTTGAGCCTGCGAGTGGGGAGGGAATTTCGCAGACGAACAACTGTATTCCAGTGATCGCTCAATCGCAGTGTCCTGCACTGAATCACGTCGGGGACTGTATGGACTTAGAGGGAGACCTGTTCGGATACTTTGGTCTTGCTGGAGGGAACAACTTCGATGCTTTCAGTCCGACCGGCATGTATATGCCCATGGTACCAAACCAATTCGATAACTTTTTTTGCTACCAATGACAAGGAATTTGCCTGCAGTGATCGTTGCAGCTGAGGCTCCGTGGTATATTTGGACACAGCGAGCCCCTATGCTGAACAACTGAATGCGTCAAATTTGTAATGTTGCCTCTCGGGCATCATGGTCTCGTCCCTACCATGCACAGGGAGTTTAATACCCGAAAAGTCAGGCCATTGGGCACTCATGTTCTATCCAGGCCTTGAATCCCTCTTCGGCATCATGTAACACATCAAACCCAAGAAGCTCATCATTGTACGACTTGTCACCCCAACTCCACTTACACTGTGCTTTAAAATCGGTTTGAGCAATATCAGAGAGGACTTGGTCTCGCTCAACTTGAAGATCGCCATCTGGAAGATGATAGAAGTCCTGCTTTTCGACTGCTCCAGCAACGTTGATCTCGGTCCGCTGCTTTCGAAGTCGTTCAAACAGCCTCAAGATACTTGCAACCTGAGCGTGCTTATCCCCTCTATTAGCTTGTCGGTGTGCATCTAGGTGACTAAGAAGTAAACCCAGGACTGCGCCATCCTCGATTGCCATTGCCGCTCCCTGGGCTTGATAAGGTAATGTCGGATGAGATGCGTCTCCGATCAGCACCGATGCACCCTGTTGCGCCGTCATTCAGCGTCCATCTAGGAACATACAGCAAATGAGTCAACCGACCTTCGTCCATGTCTCTTGCCGTGGAACATGATGTAGCTTCCATTTAAGAGCCGTCTTCAGACCGGATATGAGTTTTCGAAGACTGCGTTTGGAGCGTCGTTAACACGAACATTTCGCACTGTAATATGATGGCAAGCACCTACATGGGATCCCAACCCTCGAATAATTCCTCCATTTCCTTCAAGTTGCCTTCTGCTGTGCGTTTGCCTTTGGGAACCGTGTCAGGGCATCTGGAGAGACCAAATCAGTATCCTATGTGCGCGGGGTTGTAGTCTCAACACACAATAGCACGAGATTGAACTCAGTATGACTTCTCACTGGATAGAACACAACGTGTTTCTGCGGGCCCATCCAAACTTGGACACTGGAGCTACTGAGGAGCTCACTAATCCTTTCGTCCTTTAAACTGGCCAGTTGCTGGGCTGAAAACGTCCCCCTATAAGCTAGATCGCCCGTTTCCCTTGGAGTTACGGGAAGCTCAAGTACATAATTTCGGGTTGTCGACCACAAGCCTTTTTCCCGTCAGTATGACTCCCAAGAACAATTGGAAAACTAGAAAAACAGGAAGCTTACCATCCGCACCGACGACAACGTCGGCGAACAAAATGCTACCGTCCTTGAGCACGACAGAGGGTTCATTTGAGTCAATGTTGACCTTGATCACCTCGGCTCCCATTCGCATGTCAACGCCTGCCCTCTTCACCTCATCAACAAGCATCAGTTGATATTCAGCCCTATGAATCACGCTAAGATCCCGGTGTCTCTGTCAACTCTTGATGTCTGGGCCACTGGCTGTGCAAGCCGAAGCTTTTACAACGGGCAATGGGAGTAGCACTTACAGCCAGTCGGCACCATACTGGTCTCTCATCTGCGGGACCCAGGATTTGTCGACAAGGACACTGCCGTTTGCGTACCGTCGCAAGACATGCGCATCCATAATAATCCCACCTGCCTGGACGAGTTTCTCTGAGAGGCCAAAGGAATCCATGATCCTTGCCGCATTTGGGGGAATTTGGATGCCGGCTCCGATCGGGAGAAGTTCGGAGGCACGCTCGAGCAATGTTACACGTATCGGCGGTTTGGCTTGACGGCATGCTAGGGCACAAGCTAGTCCACCTGTGCCAGCACCGACGATGAGAATGTGCAATGGGTCGAAGAGACACGCCGTGGCCATGTTGTTCATCTTTTGGGGGCACAAGTACAGGATGTCTATACTCATTCTTAGACTTCTGTTTTGAGTATCCGCATGGCATACGACAGTAATCTTGAACGCCTTATATGGGCAAAGTCGGCCATCGAGAGCCGAGTATTAGGAATCTTTCTCCTCCGAAGATTGGCTCGGATGATTTTTGGACTGTTGAACAGGCAAGACTTACCTCGTGATAATCCCTCATTCCGACCTGCCCTGGTTCCGCACGGAAAGGCACCGCTGCATTCTTTGGCGGAATTTACAAGATCTTAGTACCCCAGAGCCTCCGGCGCATCGCGCACTGTACCGTTTCTTTAAAGATGGTTATATTTATGCGCTTCCAGCTTCACCATGTCTGTTCATGGTATTTTGCATCTAACTGAATCTGCCCCACATGCTTATTGACAAGCTGCCCAGACTTTCGGCGTGGCAGCTAGGCTTGGCTGCCCTAGCTTGTGTTGTTTTGGGGTACATCGTACACCAGGTCTATTTCCATCCCTTGGCGAAGTATCCGGGACCATTCCTATGCCGCATCACCGATGTCCAGAAATTGCGATACTTTGCATCGTTGCATGTTGACAAAGAGATTCTACAGCTGCATCAGCGGTACGGTCCAATTGTACGAATCGCACCAAACGAGCTCTGCTTCTGGGGTGCTGGGGCTGTGGCTCCGATCTACAAATCCGGCCGCTCAATGAGAAAAGCACGGTTCTTTGACGGATTTACAGCTCTGAAGCCAAATTTGTTTGGTACTCGAGATGAAGAGGTACGTCGCTCGTCAGAACACGGTCTCGTGAGACTTCGCATTAATGCCCTGTGATATTTAGCTCCACGCCGTGAGAAGACGACAAATGGCTCACAGTTTCTCAGCCGCCTCTTTAACTAAGATGGAAGCTATATTCGATCGTCACCTCATCGTACTGCGGGGAAAACTAGATGGGTATGTGACTCGAGGAGAATTTCTTGACCTTAAGAAAGCTTTGTCCCTCTACGCTTACGACGTCCTCGGACAGCTGGCCTTCAGCACGGATTTCAACTCACAGCTCCACGACGACTCCAACGAACTGCCTCCCATCGATGATCACATATTGCTCTCCTCTCTTTATGGCTCACTTCCTACATACCTGCCCTGGTCCATTACGCTCGGAAACGTGATTCCTAGCCGATGGCTGCAGGGTCTTATCGCAGGTCGACGAAGGCTACGTGAGAGTGTCCTCAAATACGCTCAGCATGCCATGAGGAAAAGCGAAAAAGACGAATGGCACCAGCGAACACTGTTGTCCAATCTTATCGTTGCCCAGGACCCAGAGACGGGCGAAAAGCTCACCGCTCTTGACGTCGGATCGGAAGCATTTGGGTTTCTGATTGCTGGGTCTCACACAACCGCAGCTAGCTTGACCCTACTTTTCTACCACCTACTCCACAACACTGACAAGCTCAAAAACGTTTCTGATGAATTGGAGAAGGAGATACCCTTCCTGTCAGATGGTGCTTACCCATACACTGGCCTGGAGATTAAACTACCGTACACTATGGCCGCTATCAGAGAGGGGTTCCGCATGTCGCCGGTTTTCACCATGCCACTGACACGCAGCATTGTACCTGAAGAGGGCATGGAAGTGGATGGTCAGCATCTTCCAAAGGGTGTAAGTGGACTTCTGGTTCCAGTCCTCTATGCGTTATCTGCCACGTTTTTCCTTTTCTCTAAGTCTTGCGATTCCTTCCACTCTAGGGCGTTCTAACTATAAGCCCCAGACCAATTGCTCGATCTCTAACCATTCGCTACACCACAATCCTGAGATATGGGGAGAGGATGAGGCTATTTTCAGGCCGGAGCGTTGGGATGACGCCGAGTACACCAAACAAAATCTGAGCTATCTTATGCCATTTGGCATGGGGCACCGTGCATGCATTGGACGGAACATCGCTATGATTAACATAGTTAAAGTGTTGACGGTATTGTTGAGATGCTATGAAGTAGAAGCTGTGGACAAAGAAGAAACATTGCAGACCGTGACAGTGGGGATTGGCGAGAAGGACGGCCCGCTGTGGTGCAGAATAAAGCAAAAGAAATAAGTCATAATCTCATAAGTTGGAGACTACCTTCCTTAAGAACCTGAGTTGATGTCGGTTCCCTGGCGCAACACGGAGACGATTCGCAGCGTTTTTTTTTGGTGAAGCAACGACGAGTGATAATCTACACGACTTACCACAGAGGTCCGAAACAATGCAGTTCTTGGAAACACAATATCTGCTGTCTACCTACCGGATTGGAATTCGGCGGCCTGCTTTGTTGCTGCCATAGCTCTTATAGTGTTCTAAAGCCACCAAGTTGCACATCCATGGTTTCCTATTGTTTTGTGGTAGAAAATTAATTCTTGGAGATTGTAGGTTAGGACAACCACACAACCACGACAACCACAAAAAACACCACCCACAGCTCAGATCGAATTTTTGAAACGCGTAATTTTTTGTAACTTTCCTAGTAAACCCACGTTATCTAAGGCCATTATCACGATTGACGCGTCGAAAACGCGTGTTTTCGTGGTAATGGCACCGAGATGGCCGCAGGTAAACAATGGCCCCGAACACATCAACGAGCACGCCACGTACCTCAGAGAAGCATGTAATCAACTGCAGGCGGCGGAAAGAGGCAGGAACAATCAGATCCCATGGCACATAGTCCAAGCTTACCTTGAATCAACCCTCACGCTGATTGGTAAGGTGTTACAGCAGCCATCGGTGGGGGAGGTGCTCCATCAAATCAGGGACGCGGCAAAAGACATCCAGACCATTCAGAGAGACGTCACGGCGG